CTGCAACTCCCATAATCCCCTAGCCACAATGCTTTAAGATGGGTAGACTTCAACTTCCATAATCCCCCAGCTAGAATGCTTCAAGAGGGATTGACTCCAACTCCCATAATTCCCCAGCCGGCATGCTTGAAGATGGGTAGACTCCAACTCCCACAATTCCCCAGACATCACGCTTGAAGATGTGGAAACTTCAACTCCCATAATCCCCCAGCCGGCCTACTTTAAGATGGCTGGACTTGCAAATCCCAGAATCGCCCCCCCCAGCCAGCCAGCATGCTTTAAGATGGACTCCAATTCCCAGAATTCTCTAGCTGGCATCCTTAAAGAGGGGTGGCTATAGTTGCTCTGGGGATTCTGGGAATTGAAGTCCACCTATGTCCCAGCAGGCAAAGGGTTGAGAAGGCCAAAGCGCCCCACATCCAGGAGGACAACCCCCCACACACCCGACCAAAATAAAGCGACCCCCAATGGAAAATGAAAATACCCAAAGACCCTTCCTGACCCTCTTTATGGCTTTTGGCCTTAGAAAGCGGGAGGGGGAGAAGCCAGACGGGCGCCCCCCCCCCCATTCCCGGGGCACCCGACATGTCCCGCCCAGCCATTCCCGCAGCGCGCATGCGTACCTGAGCGCCCAGCTTTTTCTCTTCTCCCCCCCCCCCCCCCCCCCCACCAGCCTCTTTCCCGCTTCGTTTCCGAGCTCACCGCTGCCGTGGCGGCTCCCCTCCTGGTGCCTCGAGAGCCCGGAGGGAAGGGAAGAAGGCCCGAAGGTTGCCGTGGGAGCCGGGGGCGAGGCAGAGGCCCCATGGCGGGGGCCACCGGAAGGAAGGAGGCGACGAAGGCGACCGGCCCTCCGGCCCAGCAAGCCTTTGATTTTTTTTTTTCCCCCTCAGGCGGGCTGGCTCGCGCCTCCGCTCAAGGCCTCCATGGCGCCACTTCCGGCCCGTACCGGAAGTCACCCCGTCCTGCCCTCCCTAAGCGCGCGGGGCCGGGCGGGAGGGGCGGGGGCCGGGCGAGCCGGTTGCTATGGAGACGGCCCAAGAGGCCTAACTAGGCCTCGGCCTCTTCGCTGGGCCAGGGCGGCGATGGCGCTTGAAGCGGTCGGCGTCCTCCTGCTCTGCCTGGTTCTCCCGAACCTGGGATGCGCCGGCGACGACGGTTGGGACCCGTCCGGTTACCTGCTTTACTGCCCCTGCATGGGTGAGGCCCGGTTCAGCCGCTTCGCTCCCTTCGGGGCTGCCGTTCCTGCTGCCCCTCCGCCGGCGGGTTGAGCGGACGTCATGGAACGGGACAACTTGCCCCGACTCCCCTCTCCTTGCCCGCCAGCCCTGCACCGCCGGCTTCGGACGGGACGCCTTCCTTTGGGGGCTGAACTACAACTCCCATCATCCCCTGCTTGCAAGGCGGGGAGGCGGTTGAGTTGAGGTTTGGGGCAGGGGTGGCACCATGGGCCTTTTATGACTTTTGGACTACAACTCCTATCATCCCCATGCGCCCTGGGACTCCTGCTGGCAAGGGTAGTGGGGAAGTTAAAGCCAAGCTTTAAGACGGGGATGGGGAACCATGGGCCTTTTATGGCTTCTGGACTTCAACTCTCAGAATTCTGGGAGTTGTAGTCCACAAGTCATAAAAGGCCCATGGTTCCCCACCCTTGCTTTAGGGTGAATAAGACCCCAAAGAAGGGTGGCTTATGGTCTTCTGCGTCTCCATTTGTTTATATCAAGGGTCCCCAAACTTGGCCACTTTAAGACTTGTGGACTTCAACTCCCAGAATTCTCCAGCCAGCTATGCTAGCTGGA